TCCCTGTGGAATACCCAATGCAGTTTCCCTAGCTTGAGGTCTCTAGAAAAGAGGTGCCAGAGCCTCCCTGAACATCACCACAGGTACTCACAGCTCTGGGGAGAGGCAGCTTTGGGACCAAGAAGGTTATTGATGCACAGTTCCCCAAAGAGCTTGGAAAAAGCAAGAATACTGGATCATCACAGTATCCTATGCTCTGTGTGTTCTAGTTAGGGTTCAGCTCAGTGCACAGCAGTTCTCTGGCTAAGAAACAGGCTTGGAGAAGCAGGTCTTTAATTGAAGAAATTCTCTCTCTCTCTCTCTCTCTCTCTCTCTCTCTCTCTCTCTCTCTCTCTCTCTCTCCCCCCCTCCATGTGTGTGCATGTGCATGTGTGCGTGTGTGTGTGTGTGTGTGTGTGTGTGTGTAATAGAAAAGAACAATATAAGATGTTAAAGGAATCACTCTCCATTCTATTTTCTAGTAAAGTCTTTACTGTCTTGGGAGAAAAGAGCTATTGAACTAATTCACTCACAGCATATAAAGAAAAGATGGGGTACTTCTCCCTCTTTTGAGACATTTCTTTCTCAATGGAATGTGTAAATGCTTAAGCTAAGTGATTGGCTATGAACGCTGGATTTTGGAGGACAGGAGGTACTTCTGGGCTGAGGGCCCTCTACCTGGACTACTGAATATTAACCAGTGTATGAGAACTGATCTGCTCCCAAAGCAATAGTCACAAGGAAAGTCAGAAGCCATCCAAACGTATTGATAGATTCCAGGTTCTATAGGGGAAGGGACAATGTTTTGGCTCATCTTGGATTCTTAATGCCTGAGACAATCTCACTGCATGCAGCAAAGTAACCTGCTGCATAGTATGTATAAATCACCCCCAACCGTAAGCACACAGAAGTGAAATAAAGGCCTCTGGGTGCTCTTCATCTAGGGACTTTACTTCCTATGGGAACACACTACAGACAATTGCCTTACAGTTTCCTAGGATCTACACACTGATACTGTGGAATGGGATAAGACCTAAATTGAGCTAATAAGCCCAAAGGTAGACAAGTAGCAGTGCTCACTGCCTAATGAAAACATATAATAAGAATTCAATATAGATTGAAAATAAACCACAAAACCCACAACCCAAACATAGTCTGAGCCTTTTTCACACACTCATGCTAGATACTGGGACTATCCTATTTCTAGAGCCAAGTATCATTCAACTTTGACCTCATGCACCAAGAGTAAAATAATTTTTATTACCTTTTGGGGGGCTGCAAACCCACTGCAAATTGGACCACAGAAAAGCTCATTCCTGACCCAGGAAGACATGATTGGTAACTGGTCCCAAAACTACATCACAAGAAAAATTTAAAAGTTTTTCTTAAAGAAGGAAGGAGAAGATGCAGCTAATGACATCAGGAAAATGTCTGTCACCTTCTCCCCATCTTTAAGCAGGTCATCTGCCTTAAATAATATAACGTGTTAACTGGGTACTCTGGGGGCCTTCTCTCCGTGTAACTGGTCCTATCTTTGGCCCTCTGGTGTCTTTTCTCCACACATCTGTCACAGAAATCCTTCTAACCACGTGACAGGAGACATTCCTCCCCTCTGAAAGCCTCTGAGGGGCTTCCTTCCCATGCCTCTGGCCCCACATGACCCGATCCAGGTCCTCAGCTTCACTGTTCATCATTGGCTTCTCTCTACCCAGCCATACTGACCTGTGACATGCCAAACCTCCTTCTGCTTCAGAGTCTTTGTGCTTGCTATTCTATCTTTCTAGAATGTTCTTCATGCAAGTTCACTGCTGGAGGATCCCTCTCAACTTTTTTCTGGGAGGCAGATCCAAGAGGGTCAGGAAGTAAAGATCATTTTCAGCTACATTTAAAGTTGGCTTTCCAAGAATAAATAAACAGACAAACAAATAAACAAATAAAATAAGCTAACAGAAGCACCACATAGAGCTGTAGGCCATAGCGTCCCTACATCACCATTCCTGGACAGTAACCTTGATCATATCCCAATCTGACAACACAGTACACAGAGTTCATTGTCTGACTTACCCCACAGGATAACACTCACGACAAGCAAGACTCTCCCTGGGTCATTTTCATCTAAATCCTATTACCTAAGAGAACACGAACACATCACAAGACTATTTGTTAAACAAACAAAAATAAACATAGAAAGTCAGGTAAAGACACTCTTAGATAAAGATAAGTCCTACTTTCTGGCCTTCTCAGAACCTTTGAAATGCCAACATGCCTCATGTGCCTCCAAAGAAGGGTCAGTTAGCACGACCAAACTCAGACCTTAGAGCCCTTCACCAGCAAAGCATCCTCCAGGAGAATCCTTGGGACCAGCGCTGGGGAGCTCTGCAGTGGCACATCAGGAGTAAAACATGGTTCTCACCAGGCCAATGAGGAGAGAGCTCACAAACAAGGATGGAGGCTTCCTCTGTGATCAGTGTGGTTCACACACCACAGAGCAGCCCATGTGGCAGTAAGACCCCGGGGGAGATCATTTATTCCTATATTTCTTGATCCCATCTTGGGAAGGCAAAAGAATCTTCATGTGAGGAAGCTGAATGGTGGTGGGGAAGGGTGGCAAGGAGACCAGCGAGAAGGAGGGATAGCCTGTGACCTAGACAGCCACTCCCAATCCCACTGTAATCATAGCTCCCCAAAATACATCACAGTGTTTGGTGAGGCAGGGGAGTGGGCTCACTGCCTTCCTCTGCTAGATGGAGGAAGACATTGCATGCTGAAAGTGGGTGCTACGTTATAGCTGTCACCAAATAAGAACAGACCTAAGGGCATCCAAGAGACAGAGGTTTTGAGGGATGCCCTACTATTGGATGGAAAAACAAAACAAAGAAAAAACACACCAGAACAACAAAGATACAATGAGTGGACTATTCACTTCCTGGATATGGCTTCATCTGCTTAAGATGCTTTTGGTTCTAATTCTTTCAAAGATTCCCTCTCCCCCATATGTTCTCTCAAGGTAAGTAGAGCCAAGCAGACCCCTTTTCCTCAAATGTTTCTTCATGTAGAATGACACTGATAATACAATATGGCCAGGGTTCAACCTTCAGCCACTGGATGTGTGGGGACACGCATTTGCGGTGTGCCATCTGCATAGCACACATCATTAAGTATTTCACATGCACCATCACCCTTGACCCTCATAACTACTTAGTACAGGTAGAACACTAAGTGGGTTCAAGTCATGAACCAATGCTCTGACAGCTCTGGAGGGTGACAGTCACAGTGGTGGAGTGGCATAGCTCCCTCTGAAACCCAAAGAGCATCTCTCCTTGGCATTTCCAGTACTTTATGGTGCTCCTGGGTCCCAGCATTCCTAGTTTGTCTTTGTGTGGTTCCACTTTCCACCACAGCTCTTATGACTTGCTTCCTATGTGTCTGTTCCCAAGTTTCTCATAAGGCTACCAGACAGGCTAGTACTCCCCCTTAACTAACGGCGTTACCTTAAACTGACTACATGTGCAAAGATCCTACTTCCAAACAAGGTCCCATTCATAGATATTGGGAGTTTGGATATCAATTTTATATCCATGTGATACCCAGGTCAAATACCAAAGCATAATGTGAGGCTTTGGCCAGAAACCAAACTGCAGTCTTTCTTACCCGGAAAGGTTAAGTGCTAACACAGCGACCCAAGGGAAATAGATTTTTTTTCTATAAAGTATAAATATCTCATTCTATAGAAGAGAATACTGTCTTAGGACTTTTATTACTGTGATGAACCACCATGACCAAAAGCAAGTTGAAGAGGGAAAGGGTTTATTTGGCTGATGCATCAACCTTATCAAAGTCAGGACAGGAACTCAACCAGGGCAGGAGTCTGGAGGCAGGAGCTGATGCAGAGGCAATGTAGGGTGCTGCTTACTGGCTTGCCCATCATGGTTTGCTCAGCCTGCTTTCTTACACAACCCAGGACCACCAGTTCAGGGTGCAACCATACACAATGGCTTGGATTCTCATATATCAATCATTAATTAAGAAAATGTCTTACAGGCTTGTCTATGGCCCAATCTTATGGAGGCATTTGTTTTTAAATGGAGGTTCCCTCCTCTCAGATGACTCCAGCCTGTGTCAAGTTACCAAAAAACCATCTAGTACAAACACAGTGAGGAGGAGAACATGAAGAGCCCCTGGGCCAGGGAACTTTACATAAACACACAGACACTAACATGCTTCTTGAGAGCGGTTTTTGTACCTGTGGTCCCTGTCTAATCTTGCCTTGTCTCCATCCCTCCATCTCTCTGTTCCCTTATTTTTATCAGTACGTCTGTCCTCTTTTGTCCTTCTGTGGACGGCATCCTTCTCATTTCATCTCTGGAACAGTAATGTAACTTTAGTCATCCGTCTTTGTCGTTACTTAAAAAAAAAGAATTTTTAAAACCCTAAACATTTTAAAACATCTTAAAGCTTCTTTCTCGTCTGTTGATCACCTTTTGACTCTCCACCTGTCAATCAAGTGGGCAAGCGCCCACCCCAAAAAGGTTTCTTGTGCTCTGTAGAGCCAAATACTTGGAAAAACACATGAAAAACAAATAGCTTTAACATCTCCCTACTTTGTTGTGTAAACTAAGTGTGAATGACCTTTTCTTCAGATGTGACTCTGCATATTTTGGTTTTCTGTAAAGTTTAAAAGGATTGGTAGCTGTTCTACTGGCTTCAAAAATGAAATATTTTAGCTGTGTGTGGTGGCACATGCCTATAATGCCAGCGTTCAGGAGGCAGAGGCAGGAGGATTGCTGCAAGTTTGCTGTTAACTCTGTTCTACATAGTGAGTTTCAGGCCAGCTAAACTTTCATAAGACACTTTATCCAAAAGAAGAATAAAGAATTTAAAAAACAACCAATCCTTAACAGAACACTATAAAATTTAATCCTACTGAGAAAAACTGATCCTCTTAAGGGCTCCTTAAGTATCCTTCATATATTTCATGCAATCAATTCTCAATTCTTTCTTATTTAAATATAATTCTTTTAAAATATGGAATGCTCCTCTCATTTGTATGCCGTCCATCCTTGCGTTGGAACTATGCTAATCTTGTCTGTGTCGTGCCAGGTTTAGGACATGCGCTTCAAGAGAGCATATATGTAATCAATTCCTCCCACTCAACACTGTGCTGAATGAACGCGCCACTTGGAAACTATTATTTACTTGTTTTATTTGGATTGTGATTTTGTAAAACCTGACTCTGGGTCAGCCCACTGATGGATGGGAGCATTAGCTAGACTGTATTTAATGGCCTAAAGGTTGGGATTATACTCACAGAAGTAATGATATATTAAATACTTGGATTTACCATAGAAACAAGATTGCACCACTGTCCAAAGCCAGAATTAAGCAGAACAGATTGATTTTGCAGTCCCATTTTACTTTTGAAGAAATTTCCAAATGTGTTAATCCTTTCAATGCTCACTGATTTTCCTAAGAAGTTAAATATTAGAGTTACTTATTTTCCCATTTGACGATTTAGTCAGTTCTGTTAGTAGTTAATCCTTTGTCTTCATTTGGTGGGGGGTACATTAATTCAGGGGTACTGCATATCTCTTCAGCTCTTGCTACTCTCTGAATGGCTTTGTTCTTTCATCGTTGGGAATGTGCTTATAGACTTTGGTTTTATGTCGGGTACTTTAGACACTTGGGGTGCAACAGGAAAGATCCCCTGGTTCATGGAGCTTGAATGCTAACAAAGAAAAATGTGAAAATAAGCATGTAGTTTCCTGAAGGTGAGTGTACTGTCAAAAGAAAAAAAATGAATAAAGGCAATGAGACCTAGGGAGTGATCTGATGTAGCAATAATCAGATAATTCAATTAGGGCGTACTGAGACGAGGCTTACAGGAGGAAAGAACCATTTGAAAGGATAACGGGAAAAAGAATGCCCGAAGCAGGATGGAGAGAACAGAATCCCTCAGCGAGGCCTACACATGGTGTGTCAGAGGAATAGAAAGGGTCCAGCGGTGAGACTGGATGAGAGCAACAAAAGGAATAGCAAAGGTTGAACTCCCAAAGGCAGTAAGAGGTAGGATCCTGTGAAGCCTATGATTCTCTTAAGGATTTGGGCTCTTACAGAGTCCTGAGCAGAGAAGAGGTGTGATTGGACTCCACTCCAGTTAGTGCTCTGACTACACTCTGGGTCCTAGAAGGCAGGAACAGAGACACTAACAGAGGGGCTGGGCTTTGGTACATCAAGCTATCAGACAATTGTTGGGGATGGTAGTAGACATGATGGGAAATAGTTATAATTTAAAACTGCAGGCACAAGACTTTTCTGATGTAGGCTGAGAAGAAAAAGAGTGTGTGTTTTCCATCCACGAAGTAGAGGAAGGATAACGAAGCAGCAGGAGTTGGTGTGAGGTATAGAGAAAGGTTAAAAGTTTGACTTTTGCATCTATCATAGCTAAGGGAGAAGGGGGTGCCAAGCAGAAGCATGACTGGATTTTAAAGGCATAACAATGAATGTGATAGTCCAAGGAAAATGCATGGGAAGAAAAGACAAGACTGTGGGAGAAAGGAGACAAGAGGAGAAGAGGGGGTTACAGTCTGGCTCACGTAGGCTAAGAGGCAGGGAGGGAGAAGAGGATATGCCACCAAAGTCAAACAAGAAGGAATCCATGTGGAGAAGAAAGACAAAGAGTGTGGCATCACTGGGAATTCATGTGAAGACCCAAGGAAGAGCTATACAGTAGTCAGGCTCTAGACAAGACACCAAAAGGAGGAAACTTGATGTAAATAATGATCAAGTCAACAGCTAACAAAAAGATGAAAGAGAAGTCCAAGGTGTCATAAAGGTGTCAGCCGCCGGAAACATAACTAAACTACCTCCTGAGTTCAGGGAGGGGGATGGGGGAGCAAAGACGAGAAGTTTTAGTTCTTACCTAAGTTTACAGGGAGGGCCCATAGATCTGAAAACCAGACTTTCAAAAAATCAATTGCTCTTGTCTGGTCTGAAGGACCAAGAAGAGACTCTGAGAGGAGTTTTGGATCCCTGCTCTACAATGAGGATGCTCACTGTCTGCTTGAGGCAGTGATGGGCCAGTATAAGGCAGTATTTTAATATGATTATCATGTGGGTTTGCACTACCGTCATTAACACTGCTGAAGGCTGGAGAAGACAGATGGGTACTGAGAATTGTCCTCCGGATTTAGTTTCAATTCCTTGACCAAATAAATACCTTGAGGAAACGCTGACCTTGTTTGTTTCTGAGTCGAGATGGCCAAGCATTTCAGCACTTTGGTCAGCTCCTAGGCCAGGACGACAGACATCAGAGCAGTTAAAATATCTTCACAAACTTGTAACCATCTACACGCTGCTGTCTTCAGATAGTCCCTCTGCAGACTTTTAATGTGATAACTACAAGTGAGCTAAAGCAGTCCTGGAAATAAACATAACTTTGTATTCCAGTAAGATGTCCATGAATGGTTAAAAGCAGGTGGTTAGTCTTCGTCTATTTTTTCTGGAGGTAAAGGAGAAATTCCTTAAGTCTGGAAAAATGTCAATGCAGATTTTGGAGACCTGGACACATGCATGATAATTCACTGAGTTTTCTGTTTGCTCTTAAATTGAAATTTATAAGGCAAACTAATATTTTTCAATACTAAAACTCACAGAACACAAAGTAAAGATGGGGATACTGTGAAAACTGCATTTGTTATTAGGTACATCTGAGAATTTTGATGATGAGAATTAGCCAAGGATGATACCTAAACTGCTATGTTATGACCTATAAAAGCACCCTCATTTTTCATAGGAAAGCAACAAGACATTCCTAAGCTAATGGGAAGTTAAAACACTGGAAGCCAAATTGGAAAGAAAATGCTTACATTGTCTCTCACTGTTGGTTATTATTTGAAATTGGTGACTTTCTATTCTTAGAATTAGTTATGTGGATCTAAAATAAATAGTAAGACAGAATTATAAAACTCCTTTTAAAAAGGGAGGTAGAAACATGAAGAATGGCACTCATGAATCAATGCAGAATAGCTCATTAACCTAAGCAAGCTCGGCCATGGGTTACAGTCTTAACTTCTCAGCAAATTAACTTAAGCAAGCTCGGCCATAGGCTGTACTCTTCGCTTTGTTGTGCTGAGTTTCAGTGAGACCAGAAATTTCATTTTCATATTTGTGCTTCAGCTTCCAGAGCCTGAAACCTCACAGAGGAGCTTCTGTATTTTGCTAAACACATACACTGTGGAAAATTAATCTAACTGGCATTCCACTGGAAGTGTATCTGCTCAAGCAAAACTGAGTGAAGCATTAACTATGTGCATTACTTATCATATTTTGCAATAGTATATTAGTTGCTGATAAACATCAAAATAGAAAACAAATAATTTGATAAAACTTGAAATAATCTGAAAACAAAGTTAAAGGACCTCTGGTTCATGTGTGAGTATGTGTTGTGGTGTGTGTGTGTGTGTGTGATGTGTGGTCTATGTGTGAGATGTGTGTGCATGTGTCATATGTATGTGATGTGTGTGTATGATGTGTGTGTGTGGGGTGTGTGTGATGTGTGTGTGTGGTCTATGTGTGAGATGTGTGTGCATGTGTGGTGTGTATGTGATGTGTATGTGTGATGTGTGTGTGATGTGTGTGATTTGTCTGTGTGTGTGATGTGTGTGATGTTTGTATGTGGTATGTGTGATATGTGTGTAGTGTGTGTGTACATACATGCATGTGTGTGTGATGTGTATGCATGTGGTGTGTGACATGTATGTAAAATGACAATTTCTATTTGGTGATATTTCTAAATAGTTTTTGCAGTGCTGTGACAAAGAATTTATTTTGAAATTCAAGACAGAAAAAATTTTCTTTAAAATTCCCAACAATGGCCTAGCAGGTAATGCCTGTGATTCTGAGTTGCATCTGTGAGATGCACACCACAGGAGGTGAGAAACAATCCCAACTGCTTGTCCTCTGATACCACATGTGTGCAGTAAGTAACTGCAATTAAAATATTTTTAAGACTTTTGTTTGATTTTTCTTTGACTCAAGGTCTCACCATGTAGTGCTAGCTGTCTTGGAACGCACTATGTAGACCAGGTTGGCCCCGAACTCACAGAGATCCATCTGCTTCTGTCTCCCAGGTGCTGGGATTAAAGGTGTGCACCTGTACTCATGGCAAGATTTTTTTTTTACATACTTGTGTATTTTTCCCACATGCATAGAACATATCATGTATGTGCCTAAAGTCTATAGAGGTCAGAAGAGGATATTGCATCCTTTGGAACTGGAGTTATAGATAGCTGTGAGCCATCATGTTGGTGCTGTGAGTGGAACCCAGGTTTTCTGGCGCTCTTACCTACTGAGCCATCTCTCTAACCCTTGCTCAACCAAACACATGTGGACGTGATGGATTATCTCTCTTAATTTCTTTTGTCGTTGCGGTGGTTGTCTTGTGCATATGTGTGTATGGTATACATACACAGGTGTGCATGCGTGTATATGCAGAGGCCAGAGGTCAGTGTTGAATCTCTTCCTTAATCCCTTGCCACTCTATGTTTTTGAGAAAGGATCTCACTCTGGAACTGAAGAACACTGATTGGCTACACTAGCTATACAGGTAACTTCCGAGATCCCCCTGCCTCTGCACGCCAGTGCTGAGATTACAGATGTATGCCATCATGGTCTGCTCTTACATTGGGCTCTGGAGAGCCAAACTCAGGCCCTTGCGCTTGTGTAGCAGGAACCTGACTGATTGGGCCACCTCCCTGATCTTTCTCATACATTAATATTGAATTTGGTAGCACTGGCTAAGTGCAGTGCCCTGTGCTTATAATCCCAGTACCCAGAAGGCAGAGGCAAGGACAGAGAGTCCAAGGCCAAGTTTAGCTTATTGAGCACATTCAAGAGATCTCAAGATAATGGTGAGACCCTACTTCAAAGGCAACACAAGTTTGAGGATATGTGTGTCTGTGCAAAGAGGGGTTTGAATCTAGAGCATTGTTTTCTTGTAATGTCTTTGTCTTTTTATAAGTCAGAGTAACATTGGTCCCATAAGTGAGTAGGGAATGATCCCTCTCTTTTTTTTTTCTGTTCATTTTTTTTATTGGATGTTTTGTTTACATTTCATATGTTGTCCCCT